GTTCCTGTTCCTGAGTCCTCCAGGGTGACCAGGGTGATCTGATTTCTTTTCTTTTTTTTTTTTGTTTTGCACATTCGTGACATTCCAGCATTTCAGAGCATCAAAGCAGTTCAGTTATTAGCCAAAGGCGACACAAGTAAACTGAAAATACAGTTTTGAAATGAAGGTGTTTGTTACTTGGGAAGAAAAAGTACATGATCTTGTGGGGAAAAAGCACTTTTTCACATCACCATCCAAAGTTTAAAGGTTCAAAAAGGACAAACAGAACAAGCTGGCTGTCTTCTGCTGAGCCACCTGGGTTTCTTATGGTTCTAGCGCTTTCTTGCAGCCTGAATTAACGGCAGACACGTCTCCAAATATACAGAAGATAAAACATTTTTTAAATAAAATCCCACTGTGCTTCTTTTGACTGTGTTCGTTGAACAAACTCATCGCTGTTGCACAAAGTAGGTAAAAATTGAGTCTTCTTCCCCCCCAAACATCTGAGGTAGGGACTGTGTTGACTGAGTGTAAATAAGTTAAACTGCATTGTTTCCAGAGCTAAAAATGCTTTTACAATCATTAGCTATAGGATGAGTGCATACAGCTCATCATTAGCATGAAGACATGACTTTATGACAAATTCTTGAGATTCTTTCCTCCAGGAAATTCAAACAATGTCTTCAGCAGTGACAGAAATGTAATTGTTGAACCTTTGTTTCCTCTGACTCAGTGGAAGAATATGACCACCAGCTCAAACTAACAGCCTGGAAACATGTAGCATGTAGCATGTGTGTGTGTGTGTGTGTGTGTGTGTGTGTGTGTGTGTGTGTGTGTGTGTTGTGTGTGTGTGTGTGGTGTGTGTGTGTGTGTGGTGTGTGTGTGTGTGTGTGTGTGTGTTCTACAAGCCCCCAGTTACTGTAACCCCAGCATTTCAACACGGACAGGAAAAGAAGGAACCAATCACATTAAAGGGGAGCCAGATCTTCCTCATTCAGGCAGGATTTTCTTCTGCTCCGGTCTAAAGGTTCAGATCGTCACTGAGTGACATTTATTGCTACACAGAGGAGTTTGCTGGAACGCTTTTATTCCTGAGAGGATTTGTTTTTTCTTTTATTCCATGAACAACTGAGAAAACATGTTGGCACTGATAATAATAATAAAAAAATAAATAAAGAGGCTTCCTGCTGAGAGGAACCGCACACTATGTCACATTCACAGGAAGCGAAGAGAAAGGCTGGAAAGATTTTCCACAACTTCTCCCGTGTTGGGCCTGGGTGTGCCAATTCTCTGAAACCACATGAAACGCCGGCGTTCAGCGAGGATGGAGATGAACAGGGAGGCCTGCCATTTCCCCTCTGTCGAATGAAAAGCCGTGAAAGGAAAGAATTTCAGCAGTCCTTTGCAGACAGAGTGGACGATTTCATCCGCTTCAGACAAACTGTCATATTTCCACACAGTGATAAAGTTAGTGATGAGAAAAAATGTTCAACCAGTGAAGGATTATCAGAGGTGAAAGCAGACGCTCAGGGTGTGTCGCCTGCAGAACTGAGTCATGACATCATCGTGCTCATCCTGTAGAAAAACAGTCGTCAGCTGGTGTAACAAAGCCTCAAGATCTGACGGATCAGGCTGAGTCAGAGCTGGTGATCCAGCTGGATCCCACACTTTGTGTTGGACAGACAGGTAGCAACATGACCGGACATGGAGCACCTGTATCCAAGGCCTTCATGGACGGTACCAGAAGGATGTTACTGATGTAGCAACAGTTTCTCCCACTGAAAATTTCTTACATGATATATTTACACTATAGTTATTTAGAATGATGCATTTTTATAAGTAACTTCTGGTGCCGATAATTGAGGTTTAATGTCGGCCGATACAGAAAAACATCTGAAGTGACTTAAAATGGACAGAAATGTACTGAATTAGATTCACATTACATTTGAATTAACCTTTGATAACTCTGCACCGGTACAGCACATTCAGATCCACCGATGGCTTCACCAGCTTAGTCAACTGTATAAGAATAAACTGCAACAAACTTGATTGGTAAATAAAAGGCATCCGTCAGCATCAACCATCTCTGCGGTCAGAAGGGTCGCATAAAATCAAACACCTCTTTTAAAAGTCCAGACTTAAATTTAATACAAAATCTGTGGCGAGACTTGAAAACTGATGCTCACAGGTGTTGGAGGGAAAAAAAATGCATCTGAAACTTTTATTAGGTGAATAATAACGGACTCCACATTTTTTAGGATTTCTTTTGTAAGAAAAAAAAAAGACATTTGTGGTTGTAATGTGACCAAACATGAAAGTTGTCAGGGGGTGCGAATAAATTTGCAATATTTTTGTGTGTCTGGTTTCCTGTCGATCTGACAGTCAATTATTTATCGCCTCCTGGTTCGTCTGGAAACTACATTAGCTCCTCTGTTCTGGGCGTCCAAGTTCTTTTATCATACAGTTGATTTTTTTTCTCCAAACCTTCTACAACCCTCCTATAAATTTGTGGCCGACAATGTGACGCAAAACGTTTCATTGACCCTTTAAAGTCGTCTGCCCAGCAGCAGGGCCGTATGGGAAAGCACAAAGTTAAACTTAAAGTCTAACTTTGTTTTTTATGGTAAACACCCAGAGAGAGAGCTGAGGCTCAGCTGCACGTCTTTGGGGTTAGTTTAGTGCTCCTGGTTGCCATTCCTCACTGTAATTTTATCACTCATAGCTGGCAGCCCTCTGGACTCCCAGAAACACACGGGTCAGGTATCAGGTACCACGGTTACCTCTGAACAGAACCGCTCCAAGGCTATTTGAGGACCTAAGCAGAATTTGATTTGGGGCCCTTCCAACTACAATAAAAATCACTGCAACTCATCTAACAGCATCCATGCTCAGGCAATCTGCAAGATGATGGAAAAATTCCTGTTCTATTGGCAGATACATAAACTTTTGGGGGGGGGATGTCTTGTTTTAAGTTAAATAATCTGGCAATGGGACTAGCACTTTTTCAATAATATTAAGGAATTATTCACTTAAATCAAGCTTCTGTATCTTATCCTATGCTAAAAAGTTATTTATAAGTTAGTTTTGCCTTGTTTCAAGTGTGCTAATATATTTGTTCAAGAAATTAGACCAAAATTACTTGGTGAGAATTAAGTTCTCGCAGTGCCAATCTGGCTCACGTCAAAATTAGATCCAGATTGAAACACTGGTTCCCAAAGATTTTCTGGTCTCCTTTATGGATTACAATAAAATCCCCCCAGTAGAAAAATAAAATCAACTGGGCAACTAGACCTAAACCTTCACACATATTCTGTTTTCAAACTCCACTGAAGTTTATTTTACACTTCAGGTTCCAACAAAACTACAATCCATCTTTACAGTGAAACATTTTTGTGTAACTGTTTTTATTATTATTATTATTATTATTATTATTATTATTCATCCACACAGCTTCCCTTGCCTCCCCTGCAGTGGCAATGCGCTCCCCGTCGGGCCGCGCCCCACACTTTGGGAACCCCCTGCCTTAAACAGACCACGATCATTTTAAAAACCATAAGCACCACAAACAAAACAGGAAGTCTGGACAGACCGACTAAATCCCACCTTGTTTTACTGGGATAATAATGCTGGAAGAATAAGAATGTGAGAAAAAATTTAATAGAAATATTTTGCTTTAAAAAAAATAATAATAAATAAATAAAAGATATTAGCTTCTGAGTAAATCGGTATCTGAGGGTGAAAACTAGCATTTCTCTCATTACACTTTGACAAATGATTGTTGCCAAGCTCCTATTTCTATTTGTGATAGTAACAATCATCCAGGTCCTTTAGAGCAGCAGCATGTTTCCTGTTATAAAGTCATGACAACCACCAACGAAATAATGGCTGGTTTTCAAAATGCCCATAAAAGTGTATTTACTTCAGTCAGGTTCATTATTACTTTCATTTTGACCCAAATGAAAAAAAAAAGGTTTCCAGGGCCCGAGTGATGTTACTGTGAGCTGAATGTCTGCCTGCTTTCTCTCAGTGTTTTTGCTCAGGTTTTTGTTTTCCGGCTGTTTTTGGATCAGAATGTGAAGCCCAAACCTGCCTGACAGAACTTATGCAGAACTCAGACACCACGTGGAAACACAGAGACTGGAGCAATCACTGTGAAAAGCCGTTTGTCTCATCTGGTTCACACACTTTTCTCACCAATCAAAGGATCTGACGTTGATCCCAGTGGATGTAAAGCAGAAACCATTAAAACTCTTCACATTTTCACGCCTAGTTTGACCCCAGACATCTACTGATGGCTTTCCAAATACGAGCTGGTCTCTGGGGAAGTAGGAGGAGGGCGGGGGGAGTGTTGCTTTGCATAGCTATTTCTGAAGCATGACTCCTAAAACAGAAAAAAAAATGTCATTGCGTTTCTCCCTGATGGCTTTCCGGGCGAGAATCAGCTGCTTTGTTTGCGTATGCCTCGTCCCGGCCCTGCGCTTTTTCAGCGCACCGCAAAGTTGACAGAATTGGCCGGTTCCCGGTCCCTCCTTCATCTTTTTAATGGAGGTTCTGAATTCAGTCAGGCGGACTCGGGTCAGTTTCAGTTCGGAAAGTCAAACTCTGTCAACTGTTTGCGTAAAAGCCCAGTGCGCACCTATGTGAGGCGGAACGATAAGGACTCCAACTCGAAGACGCGTGATTGGATCCTTTTCCTCGCACTTTCCCCTCTAATTAGCGCAGCAGTCTGGCCGCAAACAGCGCGGAGCTTCTATTTCCAAGCTGAAGGTTCCCCAGCAGCAGCAGCTGCAGCAGCAGCAGCAGGAACCAGCTCAGCTCCTCTGTCTGCATGTTGGCTGGACTCACTGGAAAAATGTTCCAGTGTGTGAAAAGTTCACTCTGCAGCAGCGGCGCTGCACAGTTACCACCCCGTCACGGGTTTCAGCGCAACGCTGAGAGAAAAGTTCCTCCAGATCCCACCGCACGTCCTGTCTGCTGAACCGAACCGAACCAAACCGGGCCGACAGCGGAAGGGTGCCTACCTGTTAGGAGGACGGCTGGCAGCAGAACGCTGTAGACCAGCCAGACGATCACCTGGAGATCCATGTCTGTGTGTGTGTGTGTGTCTGAGATCAGCGCTCAGAGTGGGGGACAACCCGTCCTATTGTCTCCATTTGGACCAGGACAGCTGGTCCAAACGTCCCGTCAGACACGAAACCGAGAAGAGCTCCAGCATTGTTCACCAAAAGGTCCGCCGATCCTCCGCCTTTCCTGATCTTTTTTTTTTTTTCGGGGCGTTTTCAGCCGCAAACCATGTGCCAACAGCGCATCCGCTGCCTCTTTTTTTTTTTTTTTTGCGCCTCGGAGGGAGGAAGAAAAGTTTGAGAGCGCGGCTCCTGTCGGCCAGGCCCGCGCTGGAGGAACTCTGCTCAAAGTGGAAAATGTGATTCACAGAACAGAGTGTGAGCTGAGGGGCGTTCATAGAGGAGCTATTCTCCACTGAGCTGATGGTCACCTCCCTGTTTTAACCAAACAGTCACACACTCAGCCAGTCTGTCTGTGACTGACAGCTGGAGATGTGAGTGTGTGTGCGTGTGTGTGTGTGTGCGCGGAGGACGGGGATATGGAGGATGGTGGTGGGGTTCCATTGCGCTGCGCCACTTTATTGTTTTGCGCTAAAACATTTGCCCTGATGCCACAACGTGTCTGCCTCACCTGACGTCAAAAAGCCACTTTATGTATGTTTACAGCGCCCCCATATGGACACAAAGGGTATGTGAGCGAGTTGGGACGACTGACAGAAATAAAATGTGTGTGTGTGTGTGTGTGTGTGTGTGTGTGTGTGTGTGTGTGTGTGTGTGTGTGTGTGTGTGTGTGTCTCTGTTGCCCTGTGATGGACTGGTGACCTGTCCAGTTTGTCCCCGTCTCCTGTCTGTTGTCACCAGATGTTTACAGAGCAATTAATCTTTTAGAAATTAGCTCTTTTAAAGCAGACGAGTTCCAGCTGTACAAAGGTCAGGTGCCAGAAAGCGTCTCCATAATACGTCACCAGCACCTCCATGTGGGTCGGATGCTGTTCACCTCCTCAGAACAAGTTCGGCTTCAGGTTCTTCAATCATTCCTCTTCTCAGACATCAGTTTCAGCAGTTGTAAAAGCCATCTCAGTTAAATATTACACAATGTTATAGTAAACAAAAAAAAATAAAAGTAAATAAAGAATCAGGCACACAGTGTGTCGCACTATCTGACTCTCTTTGTCTCTTCCTCATCACTCTGAACCAGCTCTGATGATGAGGAGACAGTGGGTCAGAGGGGGGGTTTTGAACCAGGGGTCACCAGGAGCCCCCCGGTGATCTCACCCTCATGACCTCACTGTTTTCTGTTCTGCGTGTCACTAATGCCGACCTCTGATACGATGACACTAAAATGTTGAAGCAGAGTCAAACTGAAAAGATAACTAAGCTTTTCTTTAAGATGATAAGGTTATTTATAATCTGAAACTACTTTGGCTGGTTTTGGCTATGGGGGGGATTATCCAGTAACAATGTGGACTTGAATAACCTTTCATCAGGCCTGATGTTGTTAGCAGGTCTGATTAGCAGGCAGTCCACCCATTGAGCACTCAGCCTGCTCTAGATTGAGGGCTTCTGCTGTTGTTGACGATGATGACTTATTAAATCTTTCGCCTTCATTCCATTGCTTGAAGCAATCAGTGTTGATTGAGTACTCCCTTCAATAAAATCGTCAGCATCAAAAGTTTCCATACAAACACCTGGGAAGAGTCCATTTATTTCAGAAAGACTTCCCAAATATTACCAGAACATTTGCTGAAATAGCTGTATTCTGTTAACAGGAACCAAACTTAGCCATTTCCTGTAGTATTTCAGATGGTTGTGAGACACGAGAGGATAAACAGATTCATTCGTTGATTCCTTGTTGTTTTGTCCTCAGAGAGGAGACGTGGAGATGGAAATGATTCAAGCGCCGCACCGTTTCCTGTCAGACGTACAGGGAGCGTTTCCCCAGAAGGCTGTGGGCTTTCTGGGATGTTCTGCTGGAGATTGGTAACAAAAAACATATTCAAACTAATTCATTTCAGTTTGTCTCTACAGCACCGATTCACAACAAATGTTGCCACCAGGGACTTTACAACAATCATTTCATTTCAGTTGCGCATGCGTTCCAATTGATCCTCGTTATCAAACAGTACAGTAGGCTCAGTTAACTGTCCAAAACATACAAAAATAAAATCAACACAGACACATCACCCCAAAGCATTTGTGGCTATATCTGGTGATTTTAATCATGCCTCACTCTCTTCAACACTGCCGATGTCTCACCAGTTTGACACTGGATTTGTTTTATGCTGATGTCACAAATTCATGTCTCCAAACCAAGACTTCCTCAAGGAAAATCAAACCACAATCTTGTGTTTCTCTGCTCTGAATATAAACACCATTTTAAAAGAAAGTGGTCACTCTTTCTTTTAACGCCCAGCAGCTGTTTTGAAGCAACTGATTGGACTTCTCTTTGCCAGCCACATAGAGAGCTCTATAAAAAAGCTCTATCAAATTCTACAATAACTTTCGCTATTTACAATAACTCATAATTTGAACTAATATGAGTTACAGCAGCATTTAATTTCTTTTTGTGGTCAATGAAGTATTTTTTAATGGGAAGTGGATTTGATGACTTTCTAACTGGTTTAGTTAGTTCTTGTGTGTCGTGTCAGTTACACGCTGACGCTCATTTGTACTGTGTACTGTGTCGCATGTTTTGCGCATGCGTCAAGAGGCGGGCAGGATTGGGGGTGTGGCTTTTATTGATTTCGCGCGAAAATTCCACTTGGCTTCCTCCGCAGACAAAACTCACGGCGCGGTGTTGTTTGCTGTTTCTGGTTCTGCAGCCGCGACGGCAACATGTCTCAGGCTCAGGTCTCCGACTTCTTCAGTCAGAGGAAGAAAGGAGCAGCGAGGGCCGGAGGACCGCCGACAGGCTCCCCGGCCTGCAGCTTCCTCCGTGGAAACAAAGAGTCCGCTCTCTGCCGCTCTCCGGTCCGCGAGGAGTTTGTCCGGCTTGTCGACGAGGCAGCGGGGCTCAGTACTGACCGGCAGTCCGCCTCCAGCGGACCCGACACGGACCCGGTCAGCCCGCGAACTCCCAAAAGGAGCTCGGCCGAGGCGGAGTTCGACCTCGGAGCCGCAGTGTTCTCGGCTACGGTCGAGCACTCCTCGGTGAAAAGGAGACGGCAAGCGGGAAGGGCCAGAGAGGCTGAGGCGAACCCGACTGAGAAAACAACCAGGAGGACAGCCAGGAAGAAGCTCGTCCTGTCCGAGGACAGACCGCAGGTAAGAGGGACAACACACCGATTCTACATTCATTCTGGCTGCGACTGCAGAACATTTGAACCTTATGAAAAGTAATCATTTTTTAAAACCCAAATAAACCTGATCAGTGCGGCACGGTTCATTCTGCTTGTAGCTTTTTGTTTTGCCTTCAATTACCGGGAGAATTGGTCATAATGCTCCAGAGCTTCTAGAAGTTCATGATATGTCAATATTTCATGTTTTAATATATTCAGGGATCCAGAGCTGCAGGTTTCAGAACCGTGATCTAGAAGATCCACTGGGATCAGTGTGACTGAAACTAAAAGATTATTAATCCTAATAACACATGAACTTTATTGAAGACAAAAATGAAACAAGGGAGAAATTAAAGACTGTTTTTGTTCCATGTTAGATTATTTATAAATTATAGCCCTGGTTTGATTCTATAATCTACTAAAAGCTTGATGTTAAGATGGTTAGTGGTTTTGTAATTGTTGCATTTATCAAGTCCAGAGGACTTTATATACACTCACATGATAACAAGCTACTGATAGTAGCCACAGCTGTCCTGAGGCAGTCCAACAGCAGCCCAGCTTCTGAAGGACACGACGACAGTCGACAGTGGAGTTGGGATCGAGGCATCAACCCACAGATTTGTCACCAACATTACCCTGCAATATTATTATAATTATTACATAATGAGGCAACAAACTAGGAAGTTTGTCCAATTATTTCTTGCTGATGATTTTCTGCTCACTTTGCTGATCCATTAGCAACATGTTTGTTAATGTCAGCATGTTAATCACAACCAGGGGTGTGAATAATTCAGGGATGAAGTATATGACCTTGACCTGACCTCACCCTGTCCACCAGGCTTTCTGTAAGGATGACATCACAGCGCTCAGGTCTCGCATCCAGGCGATCAGGCAGCAGGCGAAGAACATCACCACCTCCACCTCTCCAGCAGCTTCGAGCCATGCAGCCGAGGCCCCCCCAACCTCAGGGGCCACGGCCCAACCTGCGTCTGAGACCAAGGCTGTACTCGACTCAGGGGCCAGGGCCCAACCTGCGTCTGAGACCAAGGCTGTACTCGACTCAGGGGCCAGGGCCCAACCTGCGTCTGAGACCAAGGCTGTACTCGACTCAGGGGCCACGGCCCAACCTGCGTCTGAGACCAAGGCTGTACTCGACTCAGGGGCCAGGGCCCAACCTGCGTCTGAGACCAAGGCTGTACTCGACTCAGGGGCCAGGGCCCAACCTGCGTCTGGGACCAAGGCTATACTCAATTCAGGGGCCAGGGCCCCCTCAACCTCAGGGGCCACGGCCCAACCTGCATCTGGGACTAAGGACATACTCAACTCAGGGGCCACGGCCCAACCTGCATCTGGGACTAAGGACATACTCAATTCAGGGGCCAGGGCCCAACCTGCGTCTGAGACAAAGGCTGTACTCGACTCAGGGGCCAGGGCCCCCTCCACATCAAAGCCAAAGGACAAAACTGCATCTGGGACCAAAGCTGCACCCACTTCAGAGACCAGGTTCACTGTGGCCCGGGCCAGAGAGCTGGCTGCTAGGGCCCAGAGGAGGAAGGAGGAGAGGGAAGCAGGTGAAGTCAAACAGAGTCAGGCTCCGCCTCCAGCTCTGGCTCCGCCTCCAGCTCCAGACAGGTTAGTTGATGCAGCAGAGAACACGGTGAGCTCCGGCTCCAGAACATGTTGTTGCTTCATCCCATGTTTTTTCTGTCTTCTCTCGTGAAGCGGGGCAGAGCAGCCGGCGTACCAGCGGTACCACACCCTGGCCCAGGCCACGCCCCCTGGCCTGTCCCTGCCTTACCAGTACAAGATCCTGGCAGAGATGTTCCGCAGCATGGACACGGTGGTCGCCATGCTGTACAACCGCTCTGAGACGGCCACCTTCGCCAAGATCAAGCAGGGAGTGCAGGACATGATGCACAGGTAGGAGGAGGTTCTGCAGAGGGTCACCGCGCGGCACAGCACCATGCCGACGAGACATCATGTACAAAATCATTAAATATTGCCATAAAGCTTATGGCAATATTTAATTATTGCCATAAAGAAAGTGAAACGCATCTATCATAGATCTATTACACGTGCAGTGAAATATTTCAAGCCCTTATTTTTTTTATATTTGTGAAGAATCTGTCTCAGTAAGAATGAAAAACCAAAACGTGATCTGAGAAAGTTAGAATATCACTTGATGTCCATACAAAAAAAAATATTCTAATCAGAAATGTCAGTTTTTGTAAAAGAAAATATCCCAGAGATTCTCCATAGGATTCCTATCTTTATCTCTAAGCTATAGTCATTCAAATTATAAACAGAGGTTTGAATTGATTACCATTTTGTGTAGGAAGTTCTCATAGTTTCTGAAATAAAAGAATATTAGGTTGTTTATTGTTTAGATGTAGCTGTGAGGATGCAAGCATCCGATTGGCTGCTGATTGTCTGACCGCTGCTGTTCTTCCAGGAGGTTTGAGGAGAGCCACGTTGGTCAGATCAGGACGGTGTTTCCTGCAGCGTTCTCCTTCAGGCAGCAGAAGAACATCCCAACGTTCAACAGCAACATCAGCAGAGGAAGCTACCAGCTCACCGTGGAGCCCGTCCTCAGCTCTGGTTGGTCCAACTAGGGCTTCCCACAATCCACCCAGAACCAACCCAGAACCTGGTTTAAGGATTAATCATAGAGGAGCCATGTTGTGATGGTTTCTTTAAGACAGTTCCAGTTAAATTATGAAGTCAAATTCTATTAGGTCGTATTTGATATGTACATAATCTTTATTACCACTGAAAGTAACATGGCTACTTGACCACAATAAAATCATTATGTGGCTCAAAAACTCAACACTGTCCCTTTAAGGTGAAATGTGTTGATTTTTCAGTCTCTAAATGTGTCCAGCAGCTGGTCCAACTCCTGGTCTCCTTGTCCATGTGTTCTCAGATCAGAATGAAGGGAGACCTGTGCTGTCCGCCTCCCGTCTCCTGCAGAGAAGACGCGTCTTTCACCAGAATCTGATCTCTGTCGTCAAACAGCATCACAAGGTGAGCTGCTGGTTCCGAACTCTGTCGTTCAGGACCGTCCAGTAGAGGTGTACTGACTGTCGTGACCTCTGAACCCTCCACAGGCCTTCCTGTCCTCGCTGGTCCCCCCCCTCTCTGTCCCGGAAGACAAACTGAACCGCTGGCATCCCCGCTTCAACGTGGACGCTGTCCCTGCCATCCAGGTCGGCTCGCTGCCTCTGCCCCCCCACACGGAGAAAGTGTCCACAGCCCAGGAGGTTCTGGAGAAGGCCCGGTCCCTCATCACCCCCAAGGTGCGCCGCCAGAGGCCCTCGACATCCACAACCCGGTCGGGTTCAGCGTTGACCTTTAACCTTTAGCCTACTCTTTTCTCTCGCCGTCAGATGGAGAAGGCTCTGGTCTCTCTGACCCAGAACGCAGGCGACGCAGACGGTACCAAACCAGTCGGTTCCCAGAACCCAGCAGTGGCTCAGCCTCCAGCTCCTCCTGCAGGCCTGGTGCCATCCTCCCTGAAGGGCGTGTCTCAGTCCCTGCTGGACAGGGTGGGTATCCCCGCTGCCCATCCAGACCTGCTGCTGTCCCCTCAGCACACTTTCTAATTGTTCCTTTCTCCCTCTTACAGATCCGTGCCAAAGAGGCCCAGAAACTCCAGGTGGCCATGACCCGGAACCCGGCCCAGGAGGAGAGGCTGCTGATGTTGACCCGGCTGGGCGAGCTGGCCCGGATCCTACGGAACGTGTTTGTCGCAGAGAAGAAGGCGGCGCTGGTCATGGAGGTGGTGTGCAGCCGCATGGCAGCCAGCTACAGATCAGCCCTGAGTCTAGGTGGGTTCCCACGCCGGTTCTGGTTCCGTCAGTCGGTCCTAAAGTGACCAGTGATGGTGCAGAGTTAACTGGGACACATTCAGAGTGAGTTTACTGTCCTGACGTACTGTCCTGTGTCTCCAATCAAAAGGTGAAATGGAGAAGCATCTCCGTCTCCTGGCTGAAGTGGCTCCTGATTGGCTGAGCATTCATTCCATCAGGAAGGATTTCTACCTGAAGCTGAACAAGATGGTGGAGCTCAACGTCATTCTGGACAAACTCAACCACAGACTCAGAGAGGAGGAGCGACTCTGACAGGACTCGATGTTCTGCCTCCGGATATAAACTGCTAATTTCTTGAGAGTTTCTCAGATTATTGCGACATGAAGATGATCTCAGTTGGAGAGACGACTTTTTCTAAACCTCATAATGTGTAGACCCAGCCTGGTTCTGGTGTCCAGATTTATTTAAAATGTTTTTTTTTTTTTATTCTCTTCTGAAGGGGGAATGTTGGATTGTTGACTTGTTGTCCCTTAGGATCAAGTGAAATCACGTCACGTTTCTATGAGTGTCTTTGAGCCCATCGTCATTCTCACACACACTGTGTGTTGTAAAGTGTCATGTTGCCAGTTTGTTACACAGTACAGGCTCAACTTCTAATTAAATGTGTGAACTGGCCAGTGGTCCCAGTGTGTCCCTGTAACCTCACAGTGTAGCCATTTAACTCCCCTTCAGACTGAGCTTCCTGCTCTCTGATTGGCTAACACCTGTACAGGTGATGACCCCACAGCAGCATTACTGTAGAGGTGCATCTCAGTAAATAAACACTTTAAAAAGTTGACTTCTTTCAATAATTCTGTTAAAAACCTGACTTCACATGTTTATTACCCACAGCTTGATGTAAGTTTAGTTCAACGTTTGAGCCATTGGGCTATTCCAGGTGTTTTACATGACGAAGAAAAAATGAAATAAAAACAACATTAAAGGAAAGAAATGTTCCTCAAAGATGTTTCTGTTCAGTTGGAAAACACTGACACATCCACATCTGCGTAGCTATGGTAACTAATCTTATTTCCTGTTGTAACCTGAGCTAGCAGTAGCTGTAGCTTTTAAATAAAAATGGTTCCAGGTCTGATCCTCGGTCTTGTGGTTTGCTTCCTTGAGGTTGGAGTTTGATGAGCTGCAGTTTTCTCTTTGATCGTGTTGGCCGTTCCTGAAGAATCCATAGTTGTTGATCTGGATATAAACCTGGACAATGCAGGCGTGCAAACTTATTTCGTCCTCAGATGGATGTATATTTGTTGCTGTTCAACAGCCTCACAAACCACCAACACGTTATTGTTAAACTTTCCTGAGCCTCACTTCCTCATAGGTACGGTGTGAGGATGGTGTGTAATTTGTATGAACTCTTTCATGTTCCTGCACCTTTACGGAACATTTCTTTTCCAGCCCAGTTACCAAACTTGATGTTTCAGCCTCTTCTTCCAGAAAGAAATTAGTTAAAAAAAAAAATATTGGACTAGGTCAGTAATACCAGCACTTGTGAAAGTATCCATGCGTTGCAGGGTTTATTCTGGAACATTGATTATGTGCACAGAGGTGAAACAGCAGCATTGCATGCATCAAGAAGACTCACAGCCAGTGAATCCAACCGCCAGGAGTTTTGAGAACAAATTCATCTAACACACAGTTTCTGAGGAACTCAACGCCACCTTGTTACCTCGGCTTCTGCTGAACCGTCTTTATCTTTTTAATGGGGCAATTCCAGCTTTTATCACCTCACATGTTGACAACTCTAACACTGTACTTTGGTTTAGATGAATCAGCTCTGCAGTGATGTTAAACTGCAAGACTGAAGCTCTTGTCTCCAGATTGATTTAAACATGTCTTACTTTTAGAGTTTAAAACTGTGATCTGGATCTTCACCACTAAGAGTTCTTCTGTCATCCAGCTAGTGAGAGTTAGTGAAGGTTTTCCTCCCCAAATTATTGGTGTAGATCATTCATATGAATGATTATTGCAATGTGTGTACTATATTGTACACATTGTATGTAACACGTACAGTGAATAACGTTGTATTTGCTGGAGTGTTGGCTCCACCAGTTGGATTTTCTAAATGCTGACGCGTTGTGAAGCTGTTGTTTTAAATAAAAATGGTTCCAGGTCTGAGCTGCCATTAAAACTGTTAACTGAGTTAAGTCTATGATTCGTTTCTATCTGTAATAACAAACTGTGCTGACTCTAGATTGTTCCTCTTTAGAAATAATCTTTGGACCCAAAAAATCATTCATAAATATTAATCATAATTCACTGCTATGAATTGTAATAGCTATCCCAATGTCTGTTCATCATATGTCATGTTTTTGTTTTGCATTTTATTCTCACGACTAAACTCTGATCCTAACCTCTTTGGTTATGCTCCTTGCTTTTCATTTCCTGTCCGTTTGACATCAGGACGTTCACATCCTGCATCCTGTTATAAATCCATGACTTTATGGTAAACATATGTTTTGGACTCTGGTTTTTGCAGATGGCCGCTGTCTTGTTTAAACAGGCAGGACAGTGGAAAACATCAGCTTCATAAAATAGCACATTTTATAACATCACATGTTCTTCACAGAGCTGAAATTTTAACCTGTTACACATATAAATATGTGACTGAAAATAATGTTGTGTAACAGAAATACTTTTCAGATGAGCCTAGTTGCATAGCTGGTAATAAATGTTTGTTCTGAAATTTAAAAAATTAGAAATATGTAGAAGATCAACGAAGATTGGGATGATGGGTGTCAAGTAAACATCTTTAACATCCTGGAAGGATCCATTTCAGTCCTCTGCCAGATCTAAGCAGTAAGAAAAGAAATGAACCAAGTTATGTTAGAATCAACAGTTTGTTGGGGGCTTGTCCAGGATTCCTCTCAATTCTGCACAAGCACAAAAGATGGACAGTTTCCTATTGTAGCAAAATAAGACTTAAGGCTGACTTTACAGGACAGATGTGTGTCAGCATGGCACAGTCAGCCTGTGTATTGTTCATCTCTCAGGGAAATTGTAGATTCTTAGAGTAAAAATATATTAAATACATTTCTTATATCAGAATTCCTAAAGAAAAATCTAAATCAGCAGGTCAATGCTTAACAAAAACTGCAAATCAGAAATTGGTCACATTGTTCTGTTCAGTGCATCTCTGTGTTTAGAAACTCGTATATCAAATCGATATTTTAGGCCGAAACTGGTTCTTGCGAGATAAAAAAAAAAGGTTTGCTTGGAGTCTGATATGGGAAAGATCTCCCAAATACAGATTCAGTTAAAACTATGGAATTATTTTGGGCTGAATCAACACAGTAACATTACATGGAGAACAGACTGAGGGGTCACAGGTGTAAAACTCAAGGCCTTCGGGCCAAAACCGGCCCACTAGAGTCATATCTGTGGCCCTTTAGATGATAGAAGGTCACATAAATACAAGTTCAAGATAACAGTTGCGTGCTTACATCTCATTTTATCAGTCAAATCAAATCTGCTTTTATTTGCATAGGGCCAGAAGACATAAATGTGAAAAAATATTTTATAAAACAAAAATATTTAAGAATTATAAACTGAATTCAGAGTGACCATTATTTATAACTTTACTAAAAAGGTAGTTTTATCTATGCATTCTGCCACAATCGTCCCTTTGAGGACATTCAAGATCTTGATGGAGCCCAAAATGAAAATGAGTTTGACACACCGGCTTCATATCATCAGGTCATTTTCAACTTGAAACTTTTATGTCTTATAGATGAAACCGTTTGGTTTACATCGAGGATTTGATACCTAGACTGAGACCATCTAGGACCTCTAGGAGGAGAAGAAGATTCAGCATCTGAACTGAACAAAATCTCAGCTGCTTATAGCAGGAGGGTTTGGTCTTGATACAACAATTCAATTGGAATAGAGTTTATGGAGTTCCATCCACCTGTGCTGTTACCAGTTTCAGACATTTAACGCTAAGTTTGTCTCTTTCATTATCCAGGGTGTGTAAAGGGAGCGGGGGTTCAGGATTGACTCTTTGAGGTTTTCTTGTTTTCTTGGCTGTAGTCACCAGGAGATGCCGCGGTGGTCCTGGCGAACCAGAGGGGGTGCTGTGCCGCCTCTCAGTACTGGAGAAGGGAAAAGACGTTGTGAGGCTTCAGACGGTCGGCTCCCTTTAGGTCTCTGAGTTCGATAACCACCATGCAGCCCTGGATGTCCGCCTGCTGCTTCTTCATTAGCTCACAGGCTGCAAGGAGCGTCCCTGTAACACGCACACGCACACCCACACACACAAACATTAATGAAATTCAGCGCCACCTTCTGTTGAAGTTCTGTCATTGACTGCTGCCGATGAGCAAAAGGACAGATGTGAATAATTAAGTTTGACTTTATTTATTCACATGAAGCCAATACATTAAGTATTGAACACATAGTTTCTCTTAATAAACATGTTTCTAATGTTTCTATTGTGGTGAAATTCACACCAAACTTCAGTCAGAACTCCAGTAAGCCACAATAAACCTTAAAGATTCCACAAATGGTCTAAACAGGGAAAAGTATTACATAGTCATACAATGTACAAACTGTCAGATGTGAGAATGAGAAAAGAAGACCTGAATGGATTCTCACCTCCTGTAGCTAAAAGATCATCAATAATCAGAACCTTCTGGCCTGGAGCCACTGCATCCTCCTGGATCTCTACCTCCGCCTGGAGGAACAGAGGGAATGTGGTGGAAGACTCATTCAACAGGAAAGTTGTTCGTCTGTCTTCTGTCAGTGTCCTGAGTGCAAATAACCTTTGACCTAGTCAGGACCAGAGCTCTGTTCCCGTCTCAACCAGCTGGCCGCCCACTCAGCGGTCTGGTTCCTCTGGGTCAGAGGGAGCTCTGTGCTGCCCACGGCGAGGGCACTGGGAGACAAACCAGTTCAGGACCAGTTCGCTGACGGGTTCTGGCTCCCATTCAGCCACAGCTCCCACCTTCTGGTTCCAGGCTTTTCTCCAGACATCAGAACCCGACTTGTTCCTAAGAGTTAACAACAGCAACTCCCGGGTTGTGAATGTGTCAGTGTTCCTCACCGTGCCGTACTCCAGGTCATAGGCCACGCTGACCGTGGCTCCGGGCAGCTTGCCTTTCTTCCTAACCAGGATGAAGCCAACGCCCAGCCTCTGGGCGAGCAGGGGCCCAAACAAGAACCCACGAGCGTCCAACCCTGCACACACACACACACACACACACACACGCACACGCATGCATGCACACACACACACACACATACGCACGGTTGGGCAACAGAATGTCTCAGGAAGCCAGGACAAGTCCAGCAGTCCATCCCTCATTAGTTCCAATTGAAAGAGAAAAAAACAGTAGAACTGACAAATGTTGTGTTCTGTGATCAAGGTAAACACTGTGTGTTGATGTATTTTAGGGATAATTTGGTGTTTTGAACTATTAAAATAAACAGTTCCAGGTGTTTTTAGTGGGACTTGAACTATTCCTGGTTAGCTGTTGTCTCTGACCTCTGTGAAGACCAGGTACAGAGAAGCTGACATTGTTCTTAGCTTGTATGGCTAACAGACATTGCTCAGATCACTGAACACAACAACTCCAAGCAAATCCCTCTGGTTTGCTTCCTCCCTCCTAAAACAATGCTGACTCCCAGAAAAACTAATGGCGACAACAAGCTCTACACAGTCACCACAAGGCCATTCATTAACAGTAGGAAAAGCAGATTTTTTTTTTCTGCAAATAAACCATTGATATTTACATGTGTGTCACAGTTCCACCAGAACTAATGACAATAAACAAGTTCAGCTTAGCGCTTCAATGTGTGAAATGCAGAGAAACACTATTATTGGCTTGTGTTGCTAATGGTTACCAAGCACAACCCATGACTCTTATTTACGGAACAGTGTTTGAAAACACAGCTCAATGTAAAGCAGCTGACTCCAGACTAATCAGCCAGCATCAGGCTGTTGGACTTCCTTAGTTGCTGTACACAACACAGTGGCATCACATTTACAAACATAATGAGTTCAGCAGATGTGCAGTTCCACCAGGTGTTTGCTAATTACTGCTGGCTAGTCTGAAGGAGCCATGTGGCGAAGTCACAGGGAAAGGCTGCTCTGTTGAGGCGGAAAGCTCGGGAACCGCAGCTCCACAGAGCTCGAAGGTGGCGCTAGGTCCACACATGGGTTTTGCACAGCTGAATGGTTGCCATGGAGGTAAAAGGATTTCCCAAACACACGTAAAAGAATGAAGGCAACAAGATGCGTCTTTGATGAGGAAGTAATATTATAACACGATGTAAAGCGCAAATAAGTTGATGTTACATGATACTGCGTCTTTGAAGATCATCACAACTTCACTCAGTTACTTTACTGCATTTCTTATCCAATTGGAAAGGAAGAAATTCCAGATCTGCAGTAGGAAGTGCAGCGCAGTAGAAGGAAATGGAAGTAAAGAACAGGAAGATGTTTTCAGACGAGGCAGTGGGGGAGGTGTTGGAGCTCCAGGTCCTGTACAGGAGGCCCAGCGGACCAGAGGGACACGCTTACCGATGATCAGATCCACCTGCAGCTGACGGCTCCTCACATGTTCTTCAAACAGGTCTGTGACTGCTGTGAGGGCAGCTGGACTCTTCAGGATGGGACAAATGTCTCTGCAGAACGAAAATATTGACAAGAACTGATTCTTCACAGTGCAACCACAAACCTTGATGTATTTTATTGAGATTCTGTATGTTCTGCGCCGCTCGGAAGAAAAAGAAAAAATGATTCATGGCCGTCAAAGCTTTAACGGATCTGAAAATTGCATTATGTTTTTGTAGTTAGCTCCACTTTCTCTGATACTCCCAGAAAACATGAAATAAAACGCCCGGTTTTCTTTTCGTTTTGTGTGGTTTTTTTTTTTTGTTTTTCCTGGTTGAGATGCTAAAATTTGTGTGGCAGAAAACTAACAGTGCCCAGTACCCCAACATGCCACTCCCATCATAAAACATGATGGTGGCAGCATCATGCTGGGGGAAGGTTTCTCTCTACTGGTCAGAGTTGCTGTGAAGGGGATGAAGAAGAGTTAAGGTTCACTTTTCAGATTTTAATCTGACAAAATCTTTGACAATCACGAACAGTTTTCCTTCTGCTTTTCAGTTTTGGAGGATTCCTTGTGTTATCTCGAGTTGTTGTTGATGTTAGTACATCAGGTAAGTTAATGTTTAAAACTCTGAACATGCAGTTGGATCAGTGCTGGAGTACAGACCTGAGGAATATTAAGAACTGGACCCTGAAGAGCGCAGTCAGCACCAACAGTTCTGCTGCTGGCCTGGCGCTGACTCACATAGGGAACTTCAACTTCTGCCAAGAGTTTTCTTAAAGAACAGTTCACAGTTCAGCTAACGGGGGAGAGGGGAGGGTGACTGCTTTAAATCGCGACCAGTTCAGGGAGCTGGGCAGATCCTGCACCCTTCAGGACCCGAACTGCTGGGGTCCAGTCCAGTCTGATGAGAACCAGACTAGACCACCGGGGGTTGGACGTGTTTCAGCCTGAATAACAGTCCTACCTGAACAGGATCCCTTCCTTTGGGAAGTCTGGAAAAGCCCGGACGTGTCGCTGGACCAGCTGCAGTTTTCCTTCCGGTCCTGCTGCCATTCTTCCTGACCCGATCAGAACTGATCACTGACTGGTAATGATCTTTGCTCTCTGGTCAGGCAGATACCGCTCTACATGTAGCGCAGTGGGCATGCGCTGGAATCGTCTTCTTTTTTTCTCAGGGTGCAGTTTAGTCTTCTACCGCCCCCCTCTGGTCAAACTACTGCACTACATCACACATCAGGTTGAAACAGTTTTATTTGCTGCTTTCTGGTTTAGTTGCTGTAACAAAGTGACGTCAGAGTTTATTCGTCCTTGTTATCCGCACAGCTAACTTTGTCATTCCAAAACGGAAATTAACACAAATAAAAGAAACAAGCAAACAGAGAAAGAAGAGAGAGAGAGGTTTGAAGTTCCAAACGCAGAACAGCAGGTGGCGGTATGCGCGTGCACATTGACAACAACCAGAGAAGAAGAGAGAAGAAAGCGACGTTTTGTTTGTTTTTTTCAATTGCATTATTATTATTATTATTATTATTATTATTATTATTATTATTATTATTATTATTATTATTATTACTAAGGCACCTTAACAAGACGACAAGAGAAGGTAGGGTTGTTATTGTTTTATTACTTTTTGTTTATTTAGTTTTAGTTTTCAGATCCACCCCATTCCGCCAGCAGATGGCGGTAAATGCGCATCTAAATGTTGCTTGCCCACCTCCGTAAAAAAGAGAAGAAGAAGGTAGCAGAGGAAGTGTAGAGGATGTTGTGAGTGTGGTGGAAGATGACAGCAGCTGCTGCTCGGTTCTTTCTCAATTTCCGTCTTGTGGTTCGGACCGTTAGGAGCGGAGCTTCCAGAGGAATCCGAACCGGAACTCCAGGTCTGTCCGGGCTGCCGTAGACTGAAAACGGTCCAACTGTCGTCGCCTGCTAGTGTGTGTTGAGCTTTAGATGGAGGCGGACATGTCCCCGCTGATGTAACAGAGACCAAGAACTGTCTCTGTCTCACCATGTTGTCTTCCATTGAAGGGAAGCTGATGCGGAGCGGAGACAGCAGGAGGACAGTGGTGAGTCTCCTGAGATCACGTGACACTGACGCTCGACCGGCTTTAACCTGCAACAGTTCTGTCTCTGTCCACTGATTCCAGATCTGTGTTGAGGGGAACGTCGCCAGCGGGAAGACGACGTGTCTGGATTATTTTAACAATACGAGCGACATCCAGGTGAAGTCCAGGCTCCAGTCTGTCCAGATTCAGAGCTGGAGGAAGCAGATCCATGTAGAACTCTGTCATTTCCTGTCTCTGCCAGGTTCTGACAGAACCAGTGTCCAAATGGAGGGACGTCCGTGGACACAATCTTCTGGTAAATAACAAGATCTGTTGACAGTTCAGTTTATTTACACCATGACAAAATGCCAAACATGGAACCTGTAAAACGTGTCTCTCCACAAAAAAAAGTATTTATTTTAAATGGGTAGGCTACTAAATAACATGTTTTATATTTGAAAGCATAGGACATTATTCTGTAAATGTATTTCTAATTTTAAATTTTAGGGCAAAATGAATTGTGTAAGAAAATGGCGAATGGACGTTAAAGGAGATGACAATTTAGAATTTTTAGTCATTCAAAAATAGAAAACCATGTGAATTTTTTTCCTCTGTACATTTATGTGTACTACCTTGTGTCTGTCTATCACATCAAATCCCAATGCTAAATAGATTGAACTCTGTTTTTGTAGCAGGACCAACTGTGGAGAACTCTAGAGGGTCTGCAGTGAGTTCTAAACATGTCCTCTCTTCCTCTGCAGGCCCTGATGTACCAGGATCCTCAGCGCTGGGGAATCACTTTGCAGACTTATATTCAGCTCACCATGCTGGATAAACACTTGTCAGCCACGGTGAGCTGGCTGAGTGTGTGTGTGTGTGTGTGTGTGTGTTTGTGTGTGTGTGTGTGTGTTTGTGGTGTGTGTGTGTGTGTGTGTGTGTGTGTGTGTGGTGTGTGTATCTGAAGTTCATCCACCAGCTGCATGAAGACAGGCTCCCTGTTAGCTGGGAGCTAGAAGCTCTTAGGTTGTAGCTGTTAGGTATTAGCTGCTGACTAGCAGCTAGTTAAGAGCTGTTAACCTGTAGCTGCTAGCGAAGAACATGGGCTTATAGTTCCAAGTGTTCAGCATGGTGAAAACCTGAGGGGCTGTTTCTGGTTTCAGACTGCTCCGGTCACCATGATGGAGAGGTCAATCTTCAGCGCCAAGCACATCTTCGTGGAGAATCTCTACCGGAGGTACAGTTGTGTTTTTGCCAGATTCTGCATCTGACCGATAATCAACAAGGCTGCTCTAAAAACTGTGACCACCTGGTTGACAACGGTGAGCTAGTTCACCGATGCTGTCAGTAGACTGATGGGTCTTTTTTTCCCCCTTTCTGTCAGTGGAAAAATGCCAGAGGTGGATTACATTGTTCTGAGCGAGTGGTTCGATTGGATCACCACAAACGTTTCCCTCCCTGTCGACTTGATCGGTGAGAAGATTGTGTCTGAAAACTGGAAATTTGGGACTCTAAAGTTCCGATGAGTATTCTGCTTTGCAATGAAGCTTATTCTCTGTCTGACCGGCTCCAGTTTACCTGCAGACGTCTCCTCAGAAGTGCCATGAGAGGCTGAAGCAGCGATGCAGAGAGGAAGAGATGGTCATTCCACTGGTGAGGACCTGGCTTCATACCTCTGGTCCACACAAAATGCTTCGCATAACCTATACAGCCATCAGCCTCTACTGTGTGTGTGTATGCGTGTGTCCACCAGGAGTTTCTGGAGTTCATCCACCAGCTGCATGAAGACTGGCTCATTAAGGGCTGCTCCGCTCCGGTACCTGCTCCTGTTCTGGTGAGTTCTGCTGCAGGCGGACCTCTGCTGTCCATTCAGCTCCTCCGCTGAACACGGTGGGCCGTTGTCCTAGTTAAATCCTGGCAGATTGAGGAGTGGTGGTTAGCTGGGTGTGCTCTGTTCTCCAGGTGATTCCTGCCGACTATGACCTCCAGAAGATGCTGCACAAGTATGAGGAGCACCGAGAGAAAATTCTAACAGCTACCAACTCTTGATGCACACACGCACACACACACACACACACACACACACACACACAGAGGAGTTTATTGTTACAGCTTAAACTCTCTAGATGTTTGGGCATTTTTATTTAGGATTTTTTCAACACTGGATGACGTTGGACCAATAATTGAAGCTGCTTTTTTATATATGAGGACATATATGACACTTCTCTGCTAAAAATGTTAAAATTACATTGGGATCAATTAATTCTGACAATATTTTATTGCAAGAGCATAATGTCAGTAAAAGAATGTAAAAATGTCTTGGCTTAAACTCCAGGGTCTTACTTTGGGAAGTCATGGTTACTAACTAGAAGTTTATTAAAATTTTAATAAGCTGAAAAAGTGTAATTAAAGAAAGATTTCTGTGATAATAATTGCAGGATGGTTAAGACTGGTTTTTCTACACTCAAACTTTAGTTTGGCACTGTATTCATTTTGAAGTTATGCAGCTGTAATAAAATATGGGTCATTTAGGACTCTGCACATCTTTACCAGAGGAACAAACACTTTGTCTATTTGTGTTCTTGTGGATCATCATTAATGTTTATTTGAAAAAAAATTTAATTCTGTTGTAACTGGAAAATCTTCAAACACCTCAGCTTGTGTCAAACATTCCCCCGAAACAGTTTTTGAATTAAAATGTTTTCAAAATCCTAAATGGAAGCAGTCCGTTTCATGTTTCTGTTTCCATCAGAATTGAGGCAAAGAGAATTCATAAAACTGGGGAAGAATTTGTTTGTCCTGTTAGATTGTAACCAGGTTGCAAGTAGAAGCTCAAAATGCAAAAAAATAGAAACACAAACAAAAGATAAAACTGAGTATGCAAATGACTGAAGACTGCATAAAACCAGACAGTGACTGTATTTTCAATAAGCCATTCTCTGTCCTCCCCTCCAGAAGGCAAGTCTCCTGTCTCAAAGGTTTTTGTTTTGTGGAAATTTACTTTTCCTTTTTTTTTTCTTTTTATGTCATACCATCTAACTCAAGACTTGAAGAAGAAACAAAATCATTTCAGCCACACTGAGGCAGAGGGGCCAACAGGCCCAGATTTGGATGATTCTCAATAAAATCATCCTTTGAACATAGTTTTTTTTTTTTTTTTGGTGCATAAAATTGGTCCAACATTTACATTTTTTGATGAAATTTGGCCAAGACAAAAACAGCAGAAACATTTCCAGCTTGGCTCTGGATGTTCACATTAGTTCGTCTTTGTGTTTATATTTCTGATCTCTGCACATCATGTGCAGATGATCCTGAAACATGACCAGTATATTTATTTGAACAGCAAATCATTATTGCATTTATTAGAATATTTAAAGCCTGTCAATATCAGACACTTAGCAAAAAACTAAGTGGCTCCAACATTCTCTTCTTCAAAAAGCTTAGATTGCTCTGATTGGTTGACTCCAGTGGCCTGGTGACATCCTGCCCATGGCTCTACATCCAATTGGCTCAAATAGTCATAAAACCAAACGAGGCGGAAAAAAAAAAAGAACCCTAGAGACTGCTAAAATATTTTTAAAGCCCTTTAAGGGTCTCAGAGGTTGGTCCTTTGTTTTTGTCTGTCCTTCTTGTGCCCCTCTGCCTTCCTGTTCTCTCTTCCCGTCGCCCTCTCTGGATCCCCCTGCACAGAGAGCTGTCCCATCCGCTCTGCCAGCGCTCTCAGCTGCTGCTCTTCATCAATGGAGCTCAACGAGGAAGACTCCGGTTTGTCAGCCACCACATCCTCTCTGCCTGTAGTGGAAACAATAAAAACCTTCTTATTTCGGCTACGCTGCAACCGGCAGTGAGGTTAAAGGGTCAATAGAGGTTGTGATGACTTCCTGAAGGCGGAGTTTCAGAAAGAGCAGGAGTTTTGAAAGAGGCAGAATCACAATTTCTGTCACAAAGTCAAATTTCTTTTAATTGACATTCGATAGATACATCATTTTTTTTTATAACAATTTAAGGTAACAGTTTGATTATACTGTAAAATGGTACTTTGTGACGGGGAAATACATGATACTGTCTCTTTGATACTCCCACAGCAGGAGGAGCATGGCCACGGGCCGTCAGCTTGTCCCGTCAAATCGTCAGTTCCCAAAACCACACATTAAAAAAAAACCCTTCTAATAACGCATGTGGGGTCAGTGTGACCCCTGATGGATGCTGTGATAATAACAACACGTCTGTAAAGACCACAGAAGAACAAGCTGAACTGGTTCTGTCTCTGGATGGGTTATTGCGTAAGACAAATCCAATGCTGCTGTAGCGCCATCTAGTGTGGCTAACTGCGTATGCGTGTGTGTTTTTCTTACTTGGTGTTTTCTGTGCGTCATCAGAAGTCTCTGAGTTTGGCTGAACTCTTCCTCGCTTCTTGGCTGCCTCTGCTCCACCTCCTGTTCTCAGTGTGATATGAAGAGAAATGGCTTGAGGACCACTAAGATCATCGTCTCCATCATCATCATCATCAAGTGCTCTGCTTTCATCAGAGTTCCTGAAGCAGCTCGAGTCATTCCAGCCATCATCTCCAGTGGAGACTGATGGAGAAACGTTTCTGTCCTCTTTGGTCAGGTTGGTCTTCGGAAGCACAGAAATGCTGTCAGGTACACCGCCAGTCATGGCGGGGGTTGCTTTGGGAGGTTGGTCTGGCAGCAGAGGGCGACCCCTGAAGGCCAGGTCTGAGTATGGCCACTGCAGATCCATGTCTGACGGGTCAACACTGGGGCGATGACGTCGAGGCTTCGGTTGAGGAACCGATGGAGGCCGAGACTCAGGCTGCTGGGACTCCTGGAAACAAAGGGACAGAACAGAAGTGATGGGTGTTTTTTTTTTAAGAAGATGACAAACCCATCTGGAAGAAACATTCCCCTCGTCCTGATTTTGGCCCCAGCCTCCAGTCCTACCTCTCTCTTATCTGACTCCTTCCTCTTCTCATAGTTGTCTTTCTTTTGCTCCGTCGCCGTCTGCTTTTCTGTGGGATCTGCCAACTTAGAAGGTTGCTTACTTCTCTGGAGAACATCCAACCACTCCTGCAGAATCAGTCCAAATATAAGATCAGATGTGATTAATCAGACTGCAGTCCAACTGGATAGGTTTCCATTGAATAATATGCTGATGTGGTTTGAGGTGGAAGGCAGGAGTAACCCCACGGTCATTGGGAATGTGTGGAATGTGAACAATGTGGTTGCACCGGCAGGACTTCCTCTCGGACTTCGCCATGACGAAAAAGGATGGAAAGCTGAATGCAGCTTCAGAAGCCATTTTGGTGGAGCTTTCTCTGTAAGTCAGAGACAAGAATCGGGGTAGGTGCAGAAGTCACAGATTTCGCCTATGCAGCGCACTGGGGTAGAGCAGGTGATTCAAGATCAGAAAAGTGGCATCTTTGTGGCAAATGGAGTCGCTGGCTGCCTTAGTAACGTGAGGTTTATTATTACGGGGCACACAATACCGAGAAGGAAAAAAAAAAAACTTTTAGAAGGGCACTTTTTTATCCACAGAAAAAAAGGGCCAGTACTCTAGCAACCTAAAGTCTATCTCTCTAGGTGACTCTAGATGACACTTCTCTCATCCATCAGGAACAAACTTATGGTCGCTGAAATAGCTTATGCATATCCATATTAGCATGGTGATTCAGTATCCCTGTAGAACCAGTCCTGGGCCCTTAATCTGAACAGATAAAAACTAAATCAATGTCTTAAAATGATGTGGAACAGAAACAGTCACTAATTTCTCTCTTGAGCCCATTTTACTTTTCTCTTATTTTTCTTCAATAATGAATCAAAGTGAAGGTGTTTCTGTTATTATTATTATTACTCTTTTAACTTCCGGCATACTGAGACAGGATCCCAGTGGATCACAGCTCTGAAACCAGCAGCTCTGGACTGGATCCCTCCACATGCTCAACATCAGGTGTTGACCTGTTGTTACTGGATTGTTCTTTGGTTCTGTGGTCCGCCCAGCCCCCTGTGGTAAATCTGCTCTAGAAGAGCCACTGTGTAAAAGAAATTAATATTTGATTTCAGCAGTTAAAAATATTTTTGGTTGTAAATTGTTGTGGTCTGAAAATATATTTTTGCCTCATGCAGAAGATCCGTTTGTCTTGCTGCAAAGGATAATTTTTCTGTTGCGCCTCTATTATTGTGAGGTTTGGGTGTGAGTGTAAGAGGCTGCGAGACTTTAAATGAGCCGTCTACATGTAATTATTTTTATCTGTTAATTTAGAAGACAAAAGACTTTAATATTATTGACCGCGGAGTTTGGGAAGATTGGATGGTCCCGGTCTCGGTGTGTTCTGGCTGAATTTCTCTGGGTGTCGGCCTGGAAACAGACGCGTCCCAGTTCTGACCTGTGGTCCCAGTTGGTGCTCCTGCAGCAGATCCAGGAGGCGACAACATTCCAGTCTGGCCAGCAGCAGCTCAAATCCCAGCAGCAGCGCTCGATCTGCATCAGCATCCGAACTTAGTGTGAACTCACTGAAACACACCAGGAAAAAGCATGGAATTAGGGAAAATATATTGGAAATATGATTTATTTTTTTGGGGGAAAAAAGGGTCATTTTACTGCAGCTAATTTCTATAAAGTTTATTTACAACAAAAGGCAGCAAAATAAAAATACTTAATTGGTCCAAATGAAGTTGCATCCAGTCCTGTTCAGCTTGAATCCAGATATGAATCCAGCCACGTGGGTGTTACTCAGCGCTCCGGAAGCTGAGAGAGACCATTTTTCTAAATTTGTTACAACACCATCACGTGAGATTAACCCAATTTATTCTACAGCAACTGAGTTTAATGAACAGCAGCTTCCTGACATTCAGGCCTGTCACAATAAGCAAATGAATCATGTGATAAATTAAAACAAGCTCAATAATTTACATTTGCATGATTTAGAATTTTTCTCTTTTCTGTCTCTACCAAAAACTGATCTGATGAAAAACAGTCTTCAGTCTGGGGTATTAGCCTCAACTACTGCTTTTTTTAAAGGACAATTTTGTATAGACACTTCATAATTCATTTTATTTGCTGTTTCTGCTGTTTTTTGTTTTGTTTTGTTTTTCATTTGGGATATTTAAAATCTTCTTTAATAATGTGTTCTTGCACTATTGTGCCTTTACTTGAAAATGGTCTCAAAGCAACAATAATATCCTTCAAGGTATTGTTTACCGCATTACCTACTGAGACAATTTATCGTCTTTTACCTCATAAAATGGATCATTCATTTAGTAACTTTGTTGTCTTGTAATTGTTTTAGAGTTGCCATTAAACAAATGCCTTCCTTCTTTAGCAGATATCAGTACAGTTGTAGAAACTGCACTGATTAAAAGCATCTAAAAATATGATACTACTGAAAATACTAGTCTGAAAGAGCTGACTAGAAATCATTGTTTCCACCATCGTTTTGGCGCCCGCTCTAACGTGGAGCCCCTTTGTGTCGCATGCGGTGCGAACCGTCTGACTGGCTGATCTGATGAGCCACAAGCTGACAAAAACAACTTGAGATTTCTAACAATAACAAGTTCAAGCTGCTACTTTCAGTTTCCTGTTTGGATGAAAACGTGAGCAGTGATGCAGCTGGCGACAAGCAGCAGACACACACAGGTGTCTGAAGCACGGCTGCTGTTCAGGATGCACAGTAAAAGCCTCAGGAAGAGATGCTGCAGTTCAGGCAGCAGAGATCAAGTGTTAAGAAAGAAAAGCAGGAGGAAAGACTTCCTTTCGGGTGTGTGTTGTGTGCGTCGTCACCTCTGGGGGGCGTCGCTGCTGGGTCGGTAGCCCATAGAGGCCAGAACAGCCTGGATAGTGGAGCCGCTGAGAACCGGCAGCAGGCAGTAAACGAAGGCGCCTGTAAAGGTCTGAAACAAACAAACAAACAAACACACAAACAAAAACAGGAGTTCAGAGCCTCTGCGATGCAACGTACAGCACTGTGCCCAAGTTTCCATTCCCCATCACAGGAATGTTTAAGCCACAAACCTTTTTTTAATTTTATATATTTTATTAATCCCAGAGGGAAATTCACATTTAGTCATTTTTTTGTAAAAATGAAACTGAAAAGTGTAGCGTGCAAATTTGTATTTTGTCCAGAATAGGTTCTCTAAATTTAGTTGGGTTTTTTTCTTAAAATCTTCCCACAGATTCTCCGTTATATTTAGGTCTTGACTTTGACTAACAAATGGATACGCTCTGATGTAAGCTGTCCCACTGAAGCTGCAGCTGTATGTTTACAGCTGCTGCCCTGATGGAAGACGAGGCTCTGCCCCAGTTTTCACCAAACAGAACCTGTTTCGTGTTGGTCACTCTTTTCCATTTCAGTTTGAACTGAGCAGGTCCCCAACATGATCCAGAGCAACAGCTGGTTCATATCCAGATGATGGGTTTAACTCTGGGAGATGTGGAAATAACCAAATGTGACTGTGAAATTGAGCCTCTGTCTCTTTAAAGACTCCTTGCTATTTCTGAAATTCTGTCTTCAGACGGTCATTACAGCAGTGCTCTTCTGTTAGGAGCAGATGTGCAGTTCCACCAGGTGTTTACTAGTTGCTGCTGGCTAGTCTGAAGGAGCTGAGGGAGGGAGAGTGGCGGAGGAGGGCACGGAAGCACGGAACCTTGGAAACTGCAACTCCAAGGAGAAGTTGCGCCTTGGAGGCACCTGGGTGTTTTGTGGAAAACACCCAGGTGTTTTCCACAACTAAATGATTGCCATAGAGATGAAAAGAGTCATCAAACATGCAGGAAAGAATCAAGACAACACTCCAGGTATGTTTTTGATAAGGGAAAAACATTATAACATGATGTGAAGCTCAAAAAGTCAATTTTACATGATACTGCCCTTTTAAAATTAACTTGGTAGCAAATAAGAATATGTATGTATATTATTTTCACAAAAATAGAAGACAAGATATAATTGACATGTCCGTTACTGACTGGATGAATTCTGAAGGCGTCTGGTTTTATTACATTTTATTTGGAGGTATCTGAGTGAAGGGGGGCGAGTTCATATTTTCAACCAGTGAGAAACCACGTGATGAATTACCTTGCTTCTACAGTTCCTCAAGTTTCTCCCCAGTTATTATTCATCTTAAAAAGTAAACAAAATACAATAAAAATCTCACAGAAGCCTTCAGGACCGTCCAAGCTGGACTGTGGCAGGTGAGAGCGCACCTTCAGAGACCGGATCTCCTTCTTCCAGGGCTGCAGGAACATGTTGACGCAGAGGCTCTCCAGCATCTCGGTGGCTTTGATGAAGGCCGCCAGGTGCTTCCTGCCGTCGGCACCGACAGCACACCTCTCCGTCACCGCCTGGCAGAACGGGAACAGCGTGAACGCGTCTCTCGGCTCCGACGTCCTCAGCAGGAACTGGGCCGCCCTCTTCAGGAGCCCGGGGTCCCGGCACGGCCGAACCTCGGCTCCGGGCCGGAGGAAGCAGCTCCGGTAGTCTTCAAAGAGGTCCCGGCGGGACGACGAGCCCTCCTGCTGTTCGTCCTTCATGACCGACAGAGAGAGAGAGAGACGGGCTGCTGAGGAGGAAGTGGAGCTGCCTCAACAGAAGAGGAAGTGAAAGTCAGCGCATGTGTTTTCTCCTGCTGTCAAAGTGATAATAGCATAACAGAATACAGTTTATTGCGGCTTGACGCGACGAGCAAACACGCCAATAAGCCTCGTTCGCCGCGCGAGAGCCCCGCTCTGGTTTCAACGAGCCTGCTGGTGAGCAGCAGGTGGTGTCCCACAATAACTGGTCAAACGGGTTTTTTCTTTACGATTAATGCGTGACTTTAGTCAGCGGGAAGTGACTCGTGTGATTATTTGTGTCTTTTACATGATCGAAAACAAACACACCGTATTTGTCCCTTTTCTATGATGTACAGTTCATCAAATGCCGTGTGGTCACCAGAGTTACACTTGAACACCGTGAAGACTTTGACTTTAAAGGTGCGATGTGCTCCTACCTCCCGATAACAGCTATCAGCACGTGGCACTCTGCTTGCGTCACAACCAGGGACCCAAAATGTCACAGCCAATTAATTAAGAGCCACAGAAGCAACAGCGCCCCCATGTGATCATAATATCATAAATGTAGGAAAATGAATTTTTCACCACCTGTTGAGCAGAAGAAGCGAAAGGGCTTCATCCAGACGAATGACGACGAATAAAAATCGTTTCTTTTTTCTTTTTTTTAAAATTAGGCTATTTCTCATTTTGAACCTGTTGTTGAGCGTGTTCACCCAGTGACACTAATCAGACGTAAACACTTCATAAACATTTTTTAAGACCTAGTCACAGATTTATCAAATGTTTACTGTCTCTAAAAACACAAACAAAAAAGACTATCATTAATGCTTTTAAAAAGTATATTTATTTATTTATTTACATTAGCATACTTTAGATTGAGACAAGTATGAACAGTATGAATATATTGACATGATGAATCTGAGCTGAAATAAATTCTTGAAAATAAAACAGTCAGCATGGAATTAAATATGCGCTTCAATGATGAACTAAAAATTAAAAAAATAAATAACCTTCAAAAGTAACCTCATTTATTGAATGGGCCAGTACATATGCATTTTACTATTTTATCAAATGTAACTGATTTAAATAATAAAAAAAGAAAACTAAAACATTTCTTGAACACATTTAGTCAAAGCTATTCCTCATTGTGTCCAATTCCTGTCATTCCAAACTCCTGTCAGGAATTTTTATTTTGAAATTTCTGACAGGATGTACGTCATACACTGCCTTTCGTTCGTGCTCGGAAAGCAGAACTTTGCTAGAGTAAGTAACTGACTCCAGGACGGAAGTCTGTCACCAACATTGAGTTCGCGCCCTCAGTCCTGTCTCCTCCTGTCATCAGATCATCTGAGTACCGAATATGCAGAATAGCACAAAAAATGATCCTCCTCACTGTCCTCAACTTTTAACTTCTGGACGGATCAAACTGAGGTAGTCTGATTTCCGACGTACATGGAACGCAGCATTGATTTTGTTTCCGGGTGTGTGGAGTCCCAGCGCTCACGTTTCGTTCATGATATTCTGAAGCTGAACAACAGATGAGTTCGGCATCTTCGAGCCGAGGAGCACTTCTCCCAGACTTCGGCGCTGTTCCCATAGTGACAGGAGCAGGACTCGTCCAGGAGGCGACAGGAAGCCCGCGTGGTTCTGCTCCGGTAAGAACAGAGTCATGAAATAAATGTTAAAAGATTCTGCTGCTTTAGGGAATCCTGCCCGTTCTGTTCTGTGTGAGGTTCAGAGAAGGTCTGGCCAGAACTGGGACAATTTACTACTATTATTATTATAGTTGTTGTTATCATTTAGAACTACAGTTTTACACAGAACCAGCAAAGAGGCCAGACCAAGTACTAAGTCCAGATGCTGGTCAGAACATGAACTTACTGCTCTGAAGTCAAATCCTGGTTTCCAGACAAACTGAACGTTTTGTAAGACAGACAACTTCGTCCAAATCTACTAAATAAATATATAAGTAAACCTTTATTTATAGTTTGGAACCACTCCATCACAGGAAGTTCATCAGCCTGTCTCATTCTCAGCAGGTAAATAAAGCAGATTTTGGTCTGGTTCTTACTCTGCCTTTCTCCTCCAGGCTCACATCTTCTCCAGACCAAGATGAAGAACCGAGGCGGAGGCTGGCTGGACTCTCGACTTAAACAAAGAGTGAAGCAGGTCCGAGACGCGAAATGTGTCACTCAGATCGGTCACAGGAAGTCGACCCATCCAATTCAGAAAGCTCCCACACAAAACCTCAATTAGAAGAGCATGAGAAACAAAGGATCCAGAAAGGAGTAAAAGACAGAAATGCTGGACCTGGAATGCTTGTTATGTGACTGGAAAACATGCTCTGAGTGGCTCAGTCCACTCTACCAGAGTAGAGAGGAAACCCATTCAGGCACAAATAGAACATCCAAAAATTGCGACGTTTGCTACATTTTATCAGCTGGTGTGGTTCGCAATCACATTGCCACACAATTCAAACTAATTGAAAAATGAGTTCCTCTCCTCACCTATGGTGTCACTGCACCAAGAGCCACCGAAGGAAGAAACTCAAAACCCTCTGTAGAAGACACTGAGTGCAGCTTCCGCGTTCACCACATGTAAACAGAAATGGAGTAGCATCACGTTTTAGCAATTGTAGGATTTCTCTTTTGTTCCTGGTGAAAGACCATTAGCTATTTCTCCCAGTAGTACTGGGCTCACCTGTTTGTTTTGGCTCCATTTATCCAGAATGCCCGTGTATTATAGTTCACTTCTTGCTATTAGAGCGATTTTTGGTTCGCTTGTTGTTCACATAGGCATTCAAACAGCCCCAGAGTTCACTTCAACTGAACCGAGACCTTGGAGAAGCACATGAGAAAACCATGCAGTTCTCCTCACTGTCAGTTGACTTGTGTTTTCAGTACCTGGCCTCCAGCAGCAGTGAATATATTGACCTGACAGAGATGGCCCTGGACCTTCAAAAACTGTACAGGTGAGAACGCTCAGCTAATCTGATCCGAACTATTCATAATTTAGCTAAGCTTAGATTACTATTGTTTTATTTAACTGTAATAATGGCTTTACAGTTGATAAACTCGGCCCCATTAGAGTTGAAGACCTTTGTTTGCGCTGCCTCCCAACGGGCCTGTGCATGTTAGAACCGTAGTTTCTGAGCTACTTGCTGGACCTGGACTGGTCAGCAGCTGAAACTGTTGATTCTGCTTTCAGAGTGGAGTACGGCAGAAGGAACAAGACAGCGTTCAGGATCCAGGTGGAGAAAGGTAGCAGGAAAAACCACAACAACATGGTTTTAAGACTGATTAATCCTAAATTCACAAAGTCTCAAGATGAAGAGCTGTATTTCCTCCTGTCCCATGCCTGTTGAAGTGTACGATGCAGTGAAAGAGGACTCAGACCTGAACGACCTGGAGAGCAAACACCTGGCTAAGAGAGCCCGGAGCAGCTGCAACGAAACTGGGTAACAACACATCTGGCACACCAGTTTCTTTTTTTTCTCTAATTATTTTGTACAAATCCTTAAAAAAAAACTAAAAAGCCTACATTATTGAAACACATACACACACACACACAACACAAACCAGTCATTTTAACTCATCATACGTGTTCAAGTAGGAGTCATAAAACAACTAAATACCTGAGACTTCCTCTAGAAATGCTTAAAACTGCCTATTTTAATTGTTCAAAGCCAAATATATCTTAATATACATTAATACACTCAGTGGAAACGGTTTTGGTTCTCCAGCAGAAGCTAACATCTACTGTCATCCTTGTCCCCTGCTTTTGGGGGTACAGCCAATCAGCAGTAAGAAAAATGAATGGTGCTCCCGGATAGGCTGCAATGCAGAGTAGCATGGTTCATAGTAGTTCAGGTTCCCAAACTGCATTTCTGTAGAATATATTGAGAAGAAATCCTCAAATAGCCATCCAACGCAAACTGGCTGAATCTAGAAAGTTAGGGAAACACTGGCGTAGACAACGTGTTCCTAAGCAATAGTAGATGTTAGGAGAACATCTACTATTGCAGGCAAATGCAGGCCTTATTAAAGTCTCCTGAATGTTCCTACTGTGGTTACAGTGTGCTGGGATTAGTTCCGGACTTATTTGGAAAATTCTCTGACTTCAAACTGAGTTTATCCCTGCTTGTGTGTTTGCAGTGACGGCAGCAGCTCAGACGAGTCGTCAGGAAGCGATCAACAGGTTCTGGGCAACACGGTAATACATTGCAGAGAAGGTTTCAACACAAAATCAAACCTTGTTGTTGCCAATCATTGTTGGCTGTCCTGGCCAAGTTTGCTCTACTAAATCAGCTGTCTCTGGTTGTAATTCTCAGAGAACGTCAAAACTTACATTAACCCTAAGATTTCCTAAAGGCCAGAGCCAACATTTAAACTAGCCATGTTTAAATCTCTGAATGTTAAACTAGATCATCCTTATTATGGCGCACTCACTTCCATTCAGTTAATTTATGTCCCGCCTGCTGTCATCCCAGGACTCTTTGAGACAAACGGCTCTAATTCCCATCTCCAATCAGTCCAGTCATGCATTACTTTGTCTAGACTCCACTAACCTTCCTATTTAAGTGTTTCCCACGGTCTCTTGTTTAAACATGGAGTCGGATGTTCTTGTGTTTTCATCCGCAGCCCAACAGCTCTGTCACGGCCCTGTACCGTAAGGGCCCTCCAGCAGCCAGCAGGACCAACCCAGCTCCAGATGAAGGGACCCTGGTTTCCTCTGGAGGCTGGTTCATCGATAAGGGCCGAGGCCCCGCCACCAAGCCTGTCTTCATCGACCTCAGTAAAGACGAGTTGGTTGATACAGAAACCAACGTAAGTGAGAGCAGAAGCTCTGAGGGCTCCCCTGGAGCTTTACATAGTGTTATGATGTTATTCCCTCATCAAAAACTAGTGTGTTGTTGTGACTTTTTTGTGAATGTCTGAGAAATACTTTAATGTCCATGGCAACCATTCACCTGCCACCTCACAGAGCAGCCCTCCCCGTCTCAGCTCCTGCAGACTAGCCAGCAGCAATTAGCTAAAACTTGGTGGAACTGCGTACCAGCTGAGCTCATAATACGAGCTACTTCTGAGTGAAACACTGGTAAAAACATGAAGGTTTAATAGAGGAGCCATGTTGTGATGACTTCCTGAAGGCGGGGTTTCAGAAAGCAGAGAGACAGAGGTCCAGTCTTCATCTGGATCCCAGTTCTTAATGGGGGGTCTGAGTGGAGGTCATGTCATGGAACACTTGAGGTTCCCGGTTGAATTCCACAGTAACGGGACACTTGTTTCTGAAACACACCTGTAGGGATGCAGGGATGCTTTGGGTGGGCAGGTGATGGGGAGTGGCTCTGAGGAGGTGAAGAAGTGTGATGGATTCTTGAAGCACCTCAGGAGCTGTTCTCCTGCTCCACTCAGAGCAGACACTCCAC